CAGCAGGAGGAGGAGGAGGAGGAGGAGGAGGAGGAGGAGGAGGAGGAGGTGGCGGAGGTGGAGGGAGGAAGAGGAGGAGGAGCAGGGCGCGCGAGGGACCAAACGGACGGCTTGACTAGATGGTCGAGCGTGCCGATCGCGCATTCATGCCCTCCATTGGCAGCCGAAGGCATGGTTCCCTGTGAGTCGAGAGCCACTCGCACCCCCACTGGGGCCCCAGGGGGGCCTTCCTATGAGACGCGAGACGTGTGAGGGGCGTGCCGAAATGACGCGCTAAACGCTACTCGCACCCCTTGCTGTGGCCGCAGGTGCAGCTCAATTGATCGGCGGTGAGCGAGGCGGGGAGTGTGAGAAGGAGCAGGCTCTTACAGAAGGCGGCGGGGCTTCACAGAAGCCCTCTGGCCTTCTGAGAGCTTCTCGGAAGCCGGGGGGACTTCTGGGCCTTCTGAGAAGGCCCGCCCCTTCTCATTTCTCCCCCAGGCTGGCCGCCGAATTGAGGCGCTGACCGCGTATTCGTGTCTCCCAGTGGGGACCGCAGGCGGGGCTCTCTATGAGGTGCGAAGCGTGCGGGGTGTGCGCCGAACTGGTGCGCCGACTGCAAACTTGTTTCCCGCTGGGGCCGCGAGGTACGCAAGTTTCGAGGGATGTGCCGAATCGGATCGCCGACCGCATGTCCTCCCCCTCCTGGTGAGATCTTCTTACTTGGCACGAGGCGTGTGAGAGTTGTCCCGAGTTGGGGCGCAGACCAAGGGTTCGCGCTGGCGCAAAGGAGAGATAGAGAGAAAGCGAGAAAGAGAAAGCGATCGAGAGAACGATTGTCCAGCTTTTTAGCGTCGGGAGCAGAACAACGAACGAGGGTCCAGCTTTTTAGCGTCGGGGGCAGAGCAACGGCGCAGACCGAACCAACATGTGAACCAGGAGCCAATGTCGGGCCAACATCGGACACGTTATGAACGAGCGTGAAAAAGAAAGTGTCCGTCATTCACCAGCGGACGCACAGCGCCCCAGACGTCTGGTTGGTACCCCAGACCTGGACATGCCAGCACTAGCCTGTGCCCCTGGTTTCGGGCTTCGTCGTAGTTTTCCAAAGCTAGCGCGCGTGTGCCTTTTGCTCAGCTGCCCTGGAGCTGATTTTGCCCCACCGCCTACGCACTTTGAGAACAGTCAGAACTACAACATGCCTGCAACGCCGCCTGGATCGTTCGCATAATGTATTCAACGTGGCTCATTGAGCGGTGTTTTGTTTGTCAGCGTGCGGCAGTATCGTGATTTGATGCACGTCTCCTTCGTTGTTGTCCCGCCTTTTATTCTGATTCGAAGTCAGGGGCTTGAGGGGATGAGACTTCAGAGCGCGCTCCTGGAAGGTTGAATTCAGCATCGGCGCTGGCATACCGTGGTCAAGCTCCAGCTCAATCCAGCATGATCCCGTCCTGATCCGGCGACGTCCTGCTAAATCCGGCTTGATCCCGGGCTTCATCCGGCCTGATTTGGCTTGATGGCCCGTCAATCGGGCTCACTAGCCTTTCAATCTTTCTCACGAAGACCTCCCAGGAGTTGCTTCCCGAGAGACTGGCCGTCTGCTGTGCCCCCCGGCCTGGCAGGTCCTGCCAGCTGCTGGTGGGCCAAGTCCGGGCCCTGTCGCCGGCCTCGGTGACGCGCACACGGCGGGCCACCGTGCCGGTGCCAGCGGTGGTGCCAGCTGGGTCGCCCAGCACGCAGGCTGGGGGCTTCGGGGCGGGGGGGGCTGCCGCGGGAGGGATGCTCGGCTGCAGGCCGAGCCAGGCCTCCCACTCGGGATCCGAGTCGATGGGGTCGATCGAGCCGCATTGCTGAATCATCGGGGATGCCGATGCGGCTCGATGTGGGGCCCGTTTTTTTCACGCCGACGTCGCCTGTTACATCGCCGATGTATCGGCGATGCGGCGCGATCCTCCGACTCCTCCCATCTGCTCGGACTCTTATTTTGCAGGCCTCCAGTGGGAGGGAGCTGCGAGCCCACGGGTGTGCGTGCAGATTCTCGCGTGGATGTGGGACATGCCTGCGCGTGTTTGGCTTTCTCGCGTCCGCATACTTGTGCGTCGCTGTGTTTGTGCACGACTAGTGCACCGTGCTGCACGGCCAGCACTGGTCCCAGAGAGGGAGTCCAGACTCTGGGGGTCCAGACCTCTGGTGGTCCAGGTTGAAACATGATCGACCCACGAACCCCGAAAGGAATATAGAAATGTGAGGCATGGCAACGTTTCCAAGATACCTGACTGGTCGACGGGCAATGGCAATGCGGAACGTATCGATCTTGATGCACCGTGCAAAGGGCTGTGCTGTGCTGTGCCGTGCTGAATTGCGATGTGTCATACCGCGATTGTGCTCTACAGCGTTGTGGATGGAGTTCTCCTTAGCGTTCCAGTCCTGACCGAACTGATCTGGATCTTAAGCTCGAGCTGCCTGAGCACATAGTTGCTGCCCCATAGCTAGTTGAAGTGGAGACTTGCGGGACGTTCAATCAACTCGACCTCAAAGTCCGATTCAGCTCCGAAAAGGAACGACATGACACGGGGCTCAGGCTCACGGACGCGCCACAAGATGTGCCAGGTGCGCAATTTGGGATGTGCCAGGGGACGTGTCAGGGGACGTGCCCTGGACAGACCTGCCACGGGATGTGCGAAAGCGCGTGCCATGGGGCGACCAGAGGACGTCATGACAAGGGACGTTGTAAGGGGCGCGCCACGGAACGCACAGAGGAAACGCCTGGGGACGAGACAGGAAACGCTGTAGAGGAGGAACCAGGGAACGTGCCACGCCGAGTGGCGTGCTACGGGACGTGCCAGGGCACATCAACTCAGAACGCCGTAAGCGACGCACCAGGGGACGCGCCAGCGCGCCAGGGGACGCCCCACAGACGGGCGGGGTTGAACTGCGACGCACTCTACTGCGACAAGTGTTTCGCTCGAGACATCCTCAACACTCCGCATGTTAGACATCCGCCCGGGCGACCTGGACACGTGAAAACCAGCGTTTCGCTCGAGACATCCTCAACCAATCTTCATGTTAGACGTCCGCCTGGGCGACCTGGACACGTGAAACCAAGCGTCTCGCTCGAGACATCCTCAAAACATCTTCATGTTAGACATCAGCCTGGGCGACCTAGGCACGTGAAAACAAGCGTTTCGCTCGAGACGTTCTCAATGCATCCTCATGCTAGGCATCCGCCTTGGCGACCTGGACACGTGAAAACAAGCGTTTCGCTCGAGATGTTCTCAACACCTCCTCATGCTAGACATCTACCTGGGCGACCTGGACGCGTGAAAACAAGCGTCTCGCTCGAAACATCCCCAACAACTTCTGATGCTAGACGTCTGCCTGGGCAACCTGGACGCGTGAAACGAAACGTCTCGCTCGAGACATTTCTCAGACCTGGACATGTGAAAACAAGCATTTCACCTGAGACATCCTCTGAATTCTGGTCCCCAGGAGAGGAACGACCTATAACACAAAACAGGCGTATCGCTCGAGACTTCTTTTTGATCCGCGGATCGAGAGCGAGCCTCGTCCGGTCGAAGCTAAGCGGGCCGCGCACAGCTTTAATTGACAGATGGAGGAAGGCAGCAGGAGGGGCCTCACGTCAAGGCCAAGAGAGGGCAAAGCACCGGAATCAGGCGGTGCCGAAGGCGCAGTGCATGCAAAGGAACGCCTTGTACAAGAACCCAGAGGCGAAGTACCAGAAGAGCAAAATGCTGTGGTGGTGGTGCCGTCAGCGGCGCTTCATGTACACCAGCCTCAAGTGACCGCGGGAGAGGACGCACCACGTATCCAGGGCGACGCCCGAGAGGGTGAGGAGCACCGCTGAGCCGGAGTGCAACGTTGTGCCACCGAACAGGATGCAGGAGAGGCCCAGGCCGTGGTAGTCCAAGGTGCCACGTACACAGGGAAAGAGACCCGCAGTCTGAGGCGCGGCTGTCAGGTCAAGCCAGGAACATGCCGCCCATGACCGACAGGGTGCCGGTGTGCTGCAGGGAGGACGCCTGCCCCGCAGTGGCGAGCGCGTGGGATTGGGCCGACGCCGCGCACGTTGCGCTGCCGTTCCGTGGTGCCCCGGGCCGGGCCGAGGCCGCGCTGCGCCCAGGACCGCGGGGCCGCCGAGGCGGCAAGGTGCGAGCGCCGGGCACCGTGCCGAAGCCGCGCTGTGCAGGGCACTGCCGCCATGGGAGGGGGGGTAGCGAGCGGGGAGGGGGAAGCGGGCAGGGAGGAGAGGGGCCGGCCCGGCGGGCCAGTCGTCGCCAGGGCAGCCCCGCGCCAGCAGCTGAGCGTAGCGCCAGTGCTGGTGGCAGGGAGATCGTGCGGAATCAGGGGGGACAAACCGTCCCATATTCAGGTAAAGAAGGGGGGAGGGAGGTGGAGGCCAAGTCGCCAAAGGCGTCGACCAGGCCGTACTCGAAAAGAACGATGTGATGCCAGGGCCAGGGGGGGCGGTCCGGGCGAGGTGCTGGTGGCAGGGAGATCCTGCAGAATCAGGGGGGACAAACGGTCTCATATTCAGGTGAAGGAGGGGGGAGGGAGGGGGAGGGCAAGCTGCCGAAGGCGCCGACCAGGCCGTGCTCGAGGAAAACGCCGTGGTGCCAGATCCAGGAGGGGCGGTTCGGGCGAGGTGCCCGGGGTCAGGAGGACCGTGCGAGGCGCTGCTGTGCGTCAGCGCTTGGGCGCTGTACCCCGTGTCAGTGTCCTTTCGGAACGCGTAGCGGGCCGTTCCCCGCGCCCGTTGGTATCGCTCGAGACATCCTCAACACGTTCTGCAAAACAAGCGTTTCGTTCGAGACATCCGCAACAAACGAACAGGTGTAATTTATTGTGTGTTTTATCGATCGGATTTGTTTAATCAGCGTTTCGCAAGGGACATCCTCAACTGTTCAATTCGCCCGCCCTGCGCGACCTCGTTATTCATCGCAGAATGAATTCGTGGGCCCAACGCAAGCTTAAGCCGAGGGGTTAACCAAGTAAAACAGAGCCCTGGGCCCACGCCTTTTCCGGGAAAAAACACGACGTAGAATTTTTGGCTTTGGTGGTTTATTTTTCTTCCACGCTGGTCCGCCCATTGGGTCGCCCAGCGTCGTTACCCGTCTTCTGCACGTGTCGGTGCTCCCCGCCGCCGCCCCCTCGCGACGTACCTCCCGTGTGGGGCGCGTGTCACTCATTCCCTGTCCCCTGCGCCATTTCGGCGCTCCTTTGCTGCCCCACGTTGTACCCCCCACTGGGCCGCCCAGCGTCGCTACCCGGCTTCTGCACCTTTCGGTGCTCCCCGCCGCCGCCCTCCGCGACGTACCTGCCGTGTGGGACGCGCGTCGCTCACTCACTGTCCCCTGCACCGCTTTGGTGCTTCTCAGGAGGGAAAGAAGCACACAGACACAATTGATCGTCGATTCCCCAGAGAATATTTGAAAATATGGGAAGTGGGGGGAAGACAGAAACCCAGAACATATGGGAAAATATGGGGAATATTTCCCTACCCAGGCTCTGCCTAAAAGGGTTCTTATTCGGTTAGCTAAAAGGGCCGGGCAGTGTTGCCCGCCCCGGGCGGTTCCCCCGGCATCGGCCCCGCGGTTCCCCCAGTTTCGCCCCCTAGCTTTAGCTTTACCTTTAGCATTAGCATTAGCATTAGCATTAGCTTTAGCTTTAGCTTTAGCTTTAGCTTTAGCTTTAGCTTTAGCCTTAGCTGTAGCTTAGCTTCAGCTTAACTTTAGTTTAGCTCTAGCTTAGCTTTAGCTTAGCTTTAGCTTTAGCTTAGCTTCAGCTTAGCTTCAGCTTAGCTTTAGCTTAGCTTTGGCTTAGCTTTGGCTTAGCTTTGGCTTAGCTTTAGCTTAGCTTTAGCTTAGCTTTAGCTTAGCTTTAGCTTAGCTTTAGCTTAGCTTTAACTTAGCTTTAGCTTAGCTTTAGCTTAGCTTTAGCTTAGCTTTACCGTTACTACTAATGCTGCTTTCCCAGGGGCTCCAACTCCTAGGTAGGGTCGCACTGGGATAACTTTATCTGTGTGTATTTATTTGTGTGTCCCAGGGCCCCTTTAGCTTCTCCGACGCACCACGCTGGACCGCCCATTGGGTCGCCCAGCGTCGTTACCCATCTTCTGCACCTCTCGGTGCTCCCCGCCGCCGCCGCCCCCTCGCGACGTACCTCCCGTGTGGGGCGCGCGTCGCTCCCTCCCAGTCCCCTGCGCCATTTCGGCGCTCCTCTGCTGCACCATGCTGTGCCGCCCACTGGGCCGCCCAGCGTCGCTACCTGGCGTCTGCACCTTTCGGTGCTCCCCGCCACCGCCCCTCGCGACGTACCTCCCGTGGGGACGCGCGTCGCTCACTCACTGTCCCCTGCATCACTTCGGTGCTTCTCCGACGCACCACGCTGGACCGCCCAGTGGGTCGCTCTGCGTTGCTCCCCGGCTTCCGCACCCTTCGGTGCTCCCCTCCTTCCGCGGCAGCCCCGCGCCGCCTCCTCCCGTTGCGATGCTGTTCCGCCCCGCTGCCTGCGGGCGCCCGGGACGCTTCGCCCGCCGCCACCTGCCCCTCCCCTCTTTGCCCTGTGGCCCCCTGGCGCGGCCTTGGGCGATCGCCGCCACTCCCTTCTCTCTGCCAGCCATCTGGCTGCGTTGCCACTTCCAGCTGCCCTCGCTTCCCCCCCCCGCGTTGCTGTTCCGCCCCGCCGCCCGCGGGCGCCTTGGACGCTTCGCCCGCTGCCTCCCGCCCCACCTTTCCGCGCCCCCTGGCCACCTGGCCTCGGGCGGTCACGCCGCAGTACCCCTGTCACTGCCAGCCATCTGGCCGCTGCTCCCGCCTCTGCTCGGCTCAGTGCTGTGCCTTCTCCTCGGTGCGGCGCGGTACGCCGTTCGTGGTGTCCCACTGTGCCCCCCGCCAGCTCCAACCACTGGCTGCCGCTCCCCGCCACCCTTGCCACCGTGGCTCGCCACGGCCGCCCACCGCGTTCTGGCCCTGCGCGCCTGGCTGCTGCTGCCCCCCCGGCTGCTCATCGTCGATGTCTTCGGCGTCTGAGCGTCCCTTCTTCTCTCGGCCGTCCCCCCCCCTCTGTAGAACAAAACCTGTTTGGGGCTCCCACCCGTCGCGCGGACAGCAACAATTAACAGTAAGGAAGCAGAAAGCAGGACTGTAACAGTGGAAACTGGAAATTGCAATTAGAACAAGGAGCTGCAATCCTTAGCCTCGCAGCCTGGTGGCCCCGCAAGGGGGCCGGCTGAAACATGTATATGTGTATATATATGTTTATATATATATATATATGTATATGTATGTATGTATATGTATATATACATATATATGTATATGTATATGTATATATATATACAGACATATGCCAGGGTACCGGGGGCCCAGGGCCAGGGCCGGAACACTCTCCCGGATTCCTTCTCCTTTTGGTCCACGGCATTTTTGACCCCTTCTGGGGCCTTCTGGGCCCTCCCCTCGCCGCTCAAACAGCTCCAGAAGCTACCGACCAGAGCGGCTTGCAGGGCCGAGTACGCCCGAATAAGACGGCTCAAGAGGTCCCGAAGATGTCCAAAGAAGGCTCCAAGATGCGCTTGAGAGAGCCCCAGGAGGCCATCATTGTTTCTTTCCATTTGCAAGCAGTTTGTTTTGGAGACTGACCCATCCCGTTGCAGTCATGTGTAGCGCAGCGCGCGGGTCTCCCTTCATGCACTACGCGCCTTGGGGCAATGCGGAAAGATGGCTGCTGCGGAGCACGCGTGCAAGGGTGCGCTGAACTCCTTGTGGGGCACGATCCGAGTGAAGGGTGTGCCGAATGACTCGGATGCCCCCGTGCGAACACGCCCACTGAGGCCGCAGGTGGACCTCCTCCAGGCACGACCCGTGCGCGGCATGTTCCGAAATGGGCGGGGGAACGCCATGCGAAGCTGCTCATTGGTGCCACATGCGGAGCTCCTCTGGGGCATGATTCGCGTGACGGGTGTGCTGACATGGGCGGGGGGGGGCGCTGTACGAACCTTGTCTCTGGGCTTCTCGGTGGTGCTACTTGGTGGCAAGAACCGCGTGATGGGGTGTTCCGCAATGGCCAGGGGAGGCGCAGTGCGAACCCTGCCTCTGGGGCCGTAGGTGGAGAGTCCTGTGAGTCACGATCCGTGTGAGAGGTGTGCCCACGTAGGCGGACCTTGTCTCTGGGGCCGTCCGTAGACCTGTTGCGGGCCACGATCCGCGTGAGAGGTGTGCCGAAGTGAGCTGGGCGACGCTACGAAGCTTCCCTCTGGTGCCACAAATGCAGTTACCTGCGGGGCACAATCCGCGTGAGGGGCGTGCCACTATGTGAATATTGTCTCTGAGGACGTGGGTGGAGCTCCCTGAGAGGCGCGATCCCTGTGGTGGGTGCGCCGACATGGGCGGGGGGACGCTAAGCGAAACCTGTCTCTGGGGCCGCAGGCGGAGCTCCCTGAGGGGCACGATCCATGTGACAATATATGTCATCCGATGCCGAGCACTGTGGACTACAGCTGGAGCCTGCTAGAACCTACGCGCGCGCGAAGCGCTTGCGTGGTTCTAGTTGTTTATGTACATATTCACGTGTATGCGTGGATGTGCGCATGTGTTCATGCGTAAGTGTGTGTTGCGCAAGACGGCCCTGTTTTTGGCCGCACCTCTTGCTGGCTGCTCCCTGGACGTGGATTGGACTACCACCCCAGGCCGCTTCCGACCACCCGGTGGCACAACGCTGCACATCGCCTTCGTGGTCCTCCTCATCTCCTGGGCCCCTCCTCACCATCTGGTGGCACAACGTTCGCAACGTTGCTCATCGCCTTCATGGTGGACTTCTCTCCCCCCTGGACGTCGACCTGGTCGCGTTCATCCTCACGCAGCACTCGAGGATGGTGTTTGCGATGCGCCGTCGACGGCAACACCACACCGCTCGCCCTCCAGGTCTTCGCCTCCGGCTCCAGTCCAAGGTGTTCCTTTTCCTGTGCAAGCTCCTCGGCACCGCTTGCGCCCCAGCCCGCCGTCCGGCCGCCTGAGGCCCCGCCCGCCTGTGCTCTGTCTCCCCAATTAGAACTTTGCGTGGCCCGCCTAGCTTTTAACCGGAAGAGGCTCGTTCTCGACCCGCAGACCAAAAATGTGTGTTGCGCAATTTCTACTCTCGCATGCGTGTTCTTGCATGCGTGCGTGCTTTTCTGTGTTCGCCGATGTGCGTGGCCACGCAACACGCGCGCGACGACAAATTGAACGATTGGCTTTGGGCTTGATGAGCGTTGGGCATTCGGGAGACCATACTGCAGGCCATACTGCAGACCGTACCGGAGACCATACGGGAGAACATACGGGAGAGCAGAGGGGAGACCATCGAGTCACCGGATTTTGGGCTGGCGAAGGTCCCCCCCGGCCCTTTTTGGGTGCCAGATCCATACTGAACCCTTACAGACAAGCCGCTTCAGGGAACGGCCGCCGCCCCCCCCCCTCGCGCTTCCGCAGTCCACCTCCATGGGCGGCGCGGGCTGCTACATGTCCGCCAGCCTGCCAGGCGGGGCGGCCCGCCCGGCGTGGGGTGGGCGACATCAGGCAAGCGCGCGCCGAGCGCTTGGCGCTTCGCGTTAGCCGAAGCAGGAAAAACTGGCATCCACGGAAACTTTCGGGGCCGCGCCATAGGCGGCGCCGGAGGCAGTTCGTGCTCCGCCCCCGCGGGGGCTCCCCTTTCCGCCGACGATTCGACGGATCTTGTGGCCACCTGGGGCCGCTGCTCGGTGTGGCCGCTCCCGGCCGCCGGGGATCCGCGCGGTCCCGGGTGCTCCTGGCCGCTCGCGGGCTCGCTGCCAGCCGCTTCCATATCCACCGTCTGTTCGTCTCGGTGGCCCAGGGATCCTGGGGAGGCAGGTGCATCTTGGTGCCGGCTGGGTGGCGGGTGGCCCAGCACTGGCTCTGCGGGAGAAGGGGGCCTCCCTCGTCGCCACGGCTGATGCGGCTCGGAGAACTGGTCAGTTTCGACCCAGGGCGGATTTGTTTTCGTCCCCCTCTCTTGACCAATTTTCTCGGGGCTCATCCAGCGCAGGCCCCCGGGCCGTTTCCAATGTGCCTCACCAGACATATTCATGCCCACTTGGGTCCAGATCACGGTGCATGTCGGGTCTCCGCGCCAGACCGCGGGGACATACGCACCAAGATGCGGCCTCAAGCGGGCCTGAGCAGGCGTGGTGGAGGCGCACCCATGGGTTATTGAAAGTACGTATGTGGTTGGATCCCCAGATTCCAATCTACTCCAGCCGCCTTCCCCTTTCAAGGATCGAGTGGTTTACCCTCTTCCTCCTTCATCTTCAGGGGGCGGGCGGAGATCCAACATACGTCCGACGCCTTCCTACTTCATGCTTCTACCTACTTCTTCCGACCGATGGGTAGACTTGCCTCTTGCCGACTGGGGGTGCGCCTTTCCAGCCCGGGAGGGCCAGAGTGGCGATGCGATTCGAACTCTGGTGGCGAGCCTGCGCCCCTGGCACGCCACCCGTGGGGCGCAGGTGCGGGCTGCACAAGCGGTGGGGCCGGCCGTAGTGTGGTGGGCTCGTGTCGTGCCGACACGGCAGAGAACCCGCCGCGGGCGTTCAAGCTTGAACGTCGCCAGTGGCCCAGGATAGGCCGATATGGAACGATCTGGCGATCGAAAAGTCGCGGATCCTTCAAGGTTGAACGATCCACGAGGTGTTTGAAATCAACGCCAGGGTTGTCGCGACACGAATTGCTGATCCGCGGCCTCTCTGACCTGGAGCTTCCCACGGTGGGCCTGGAGCACCTAGGGCGGCCCAGCTTTTGCCGCCAGGGATGAAATTCTCGGAGCGTGAACTTTCGAAGCTCCGCGCGGATCCTTTGGATTTATGCCAGGGCCCCCCAGCGGCGCCTCCAGCGCTGCCCCTGGCGCAATCCGCTTGCCAGGGGGGGGTGTCCAGCGCCGATCCAAGAGCTCTGCGCGGAGCTCCGATCGTTTACGTTTCTGCATTTTTTTTTCCTTTCACAGATGGCCGCCAGGGCGCCCAGTGGGCCCCAGGGCCCCAGGGGCTCCACGATGGCGTGAGCAGCTGGGGACACCTTGGGCCAGGGCCGCTCCTGGCAAGCTCCGAGCCAGGGGTCAAGTCCTTCGTGTCAGGGCAGTTGCCTCAAGCAGTGCTTGCAATAAGGGGCTCTTGCTTGCTATGAACGGGATCGGAAACACTAGACTCGAGTTCCTGGTCTTGCCCTGGTGCTCTATGATGGTTGGCCCACGATTCGCGCCAGTGGATGCGATTTGCTGTTCTAGTCCATTCGTGCTCTTACGGGTGGTGCTCTGTGGCTGGTACCCCATGATGTCGTAATGGTTGCGCTCCTGTATTCTTGTCCTGGTGCCCCTATGGGCGGTGCTCTATGGCTGGAGCTTCAGCATGCCGTCATGGTCGCGGCGCTTCATGGTGCCCTCACGGTCGCGAGTTGTCGTTCTTGCCCTGGTGCTCCATGGGAGGTGTTCTACGGCCAGTGCCATATGATACTTTAGTGGCTGCGATCTCTCGTTCTTGCCCTTGCGCCCGATGGGTGGCGCTCTAGTTGCAGCGCTCTAATATCCCACAGGCCAATGATGCTGGATGTGAGGTCTCGGTCTTGCCTTGGTGACGTTTTTTTGATTTTTCCTTGCTGCCGTTTGGGTGGTGTTTCATGATTCTTGCCTTGTGATGCCCTTATTACTATTTCTCCTTCTTGCCCCTGTGTCCTATCGGCGGTGCTCTATTTCTGGGTGCCAGGTGGTCTCTTCATGGTTGTGATTTCTCGTCTTGCATTGTTCTCCTATCTGTGGTGCTCTATGGCTGGTGCTCTATTGTGCCCTGGTCGCCGTTTCCCTCTCTTGTCTTGGTGCTGTATGTGTGTTGCTTTTGCGATTTCTCGTTGTTGCGTTGGTGTCCTATGGGTGGCGCCCCATGGTTGGCTCCATATTCTGCCTCAGTGGTTGTATTTTCTCGTTCTTCCCTTGTCGCCTCATGGGCGTTGCTTTATGGCTGATGTCCTGTTCCCCAAGCAGTGCTTGCATCAGGGTCTCTTGCTCCTGTTGCCGTGCGGTTGGCTGGCGGTCACAGGTTCTCGGCCGGTGGGCGCTCGTGCCCGCCTCGTGCCCGCCCCGTGCGCTGGCTGGCGTTCCCTGGTTTTTGCCCAGTGCCCACTTGTGCCCAGCTAGCGGCCGTCTCGTGGCTGTCCTTTCAGGCTGCACATAGAGCTGGCACCTCGTATGCTTCTCTTCTAAAAGGGACTACACCGATGCCGGGGTTTTCTCCTCGCCTCCGCACATCTTTTGTATGTTAATGCGCCCCCCAAATATCAGCATCCCAACCAACCCTGTAACGCCCTCACGTCATCTCCTGCAACAGATACCATACGGTGCACATGCGTTAATCTAGCCACTGCCTTTTTTGTGATCCCGGTGCAATGCTATCATGCGGGTTGCATGCGCGCGCCCCCCGCGCGCATGTCAAAACCATTCAAAAGCCATTGGTTTCCTAGGCATGTCAAGCAGTAATCCCAAAACAGTGTGGGGACTGCAGGATCGTCAGCTTCTGAGGGAGGGGGTGCCATTACATCCAGTCGGCCACGCACGCCCGAGTGCGTTAAGTTCCTCCCTTCCCTTTGCTTGCCCCTCCGACATGTACGTGGGTCTCCGCGATGGTGTGTGTCGACAACCTTGGACTCGTCGCTCGCTTCGGCCTCCGCGTCATCGGATGCGTTGTCCTCACCGTCGTTGGCCTCTTCATAGATCGCGTCGTTCCCGGTCACGGGCCCGTAGACCACATCGCCCTTCCCCATGGCCTCCAAGACGCAGAGGTCGAAGGGGAGAAGGTAGATCAGCAGGGGCCAGCGTGAGCGAGACGGTTATCTCAAAGTCTGGTGCTTCCGTGTTGACGAAGCTTGTGGAAGGGCTGGCAACGGCCGCGCCGCACCCTTGTTGGCCCTTGTCGTGGACGCCAACGTCGGAGTCGCCGTCGTCACTGTTGTAAGCTGTGACTTGGCACCTGCTGCCGCGTTGCCTCTTTGGCGCTCGGGGGGTGTACGCAGCATCTCCCGTCCGCAGCGCCAGGATCCAACGAGCCGTGCGCCGTGCCCGTGGAGCCGCACGCCATGTTCCCGCACGTGCGTCGGAGGCCTCTGCACGCTCTGAAGCTGCCGTTCCGCCCGCATCCGCTCGCAGAGAAGAAGGCCGTCGCCTCGGGCATTCAGCGTGTTCCTGAGGTCGTCGGCCTCCTGCTTGACCGTGCTTGCTGGCGACGAGGATCCGTGCGATGGGGCTCGGTGCTACGACGAGAGGTGCTCACCGTGCCCGCTACACTGTCGTGCTCGGTCCTGCTTGGCGGCGACGAAGATCGATGCTTGCCGTGCTCGCAGTACTTTTCGTGCTTGGTCCTGATTGACGGTGACGGGGATTCGTGCTGGCCGCTCGCGCCTTACTGTTCGTTGGTTTGGCCAGGTGGCTGCGAGGATCGGTGCTCGCTGGCCGGGCTCTCCGTACTGGTCGTGCTTATCGTGCTCTGCATCCGTGTGATGCTTGGCGTACATGTCTTGTCGTGCTCCTGCTGGTGGTACGTGACGCTCCTGCTTGGTGGCGTCGGGGATCGGTGCGACGAGGAGCTCGACGCCATGTGGCTTGTGCTACTTGCCGCCGTGTCCGTAGTGCTTGTAGCCGTGGCCCGAAGTGGTCGCAGTGCTCGTGGTACTCGTCGTTCTCGTCGCCATGCCCTTTTGCCGCCGTACCCGTCGTGGTTCTGCCAGTGGTGCTCGTCGCACTTGCCGACGTGCTTGCCGCGCTTGTCGTCGAGCAGACCATATCGAACGCGCTTGCTATCGTGACTGTCGCTCGCCTGCAGGTGGTACCTGGTGGGCTTGCAGTGCTGGTCGTGCTCGCCGCGCTAGCTCAGTAGCGTGACGGCGTCTGTCGTCGCCATTTCGATCTGCTTCCTGGCTGAGTAGTGTATGCCACTCTTCAAGCTGCAGCTCGTGGTCTCCTCATTCGGCAGCGCGCCCTGGGGGGACGTGAGAAGGAACAGGCCTTCTCAGAAGGCGGCGGTGCTTCTCAAAAGCCCTCCAGCCTTCCGAGAAGTTTTCTGTTTCTTCGGAGAAGGCTCCGACAACTTCTCAGGAGGCCCGAGACCTTCCAAGCCTTTGAGAAGGCCCGCCCTTTCTCGCTCCCCAAATTCCAGGCTCGCCGCCGAAATCTTAGAGCTGCAGCTCGTGGTCTCCTCACGGCGCGGTAGATACATCTCTCGGCGGACGCCGCGACCACTGCGCCGATTCTGAACAGGCCCACCTTGAGCCCAGGGCTGGTGCACACTCGAGGAATCGTAGGCACGGATTCAGGCGCGTGGATCGGCGGCGGGTCCCGTTTCCATGCGACGTCGGCGCGCTGTGTCGCCAAATCAGGCGGCGATCCTCGAATCCTCTGAGCCTATCCTGGGCCCAGCAGTCGAGCGATTAAACCTCGACGTATCTACTGCCCCCTTGCCGGGCCTTTCCTGGAGAGGCCAGGAAGGCGTGGCGTATGTACCGCTGCTGGGTTCAGGATGGGCCTGGCCAGGGGGCAGTGGCTGTGTACAGATTTCGTCGCCCTAGGCACCCTGGGCAGCGAGCACGGCGAGGAAGGCGGAACCGTCAGAAGACCCAGCGCAAGAACATTCGAGCCTTGAACTCCCTGAGCTTATCCTGGGCCCAGCAGGCGAGCACAGCGAGCAAGGCGAGTCCACTACCGAAGAACCCAGGAGGAGGAGGAGGAGGAGGAGGAGGAGGAGGAGGAGGAGGAGGAGGAGGAGGAGGAGGAGGAGGAGGAGGAGGAGGAGGAGGAGGAGGAGGAGGAGGAGGAGGAGGAGGAGGAGGAGGAGGAGGAGGAGGAGGGAGGAGGAGGAGGAGGCGGGAGGAGGCGGAGGAGGGTGAGGAGGCGGAGGAGGCGGAGGAGGAGGAGGAGGAGGAGGAGGAGGAGGAGGAGGAGGAGGAGGAGGGAGGAGGAGGAGGAGGAGGAGAGGAGGAGGAGGAGGGGGGGGAGGAGGAGGAGGAGGAGGCGGAGGAGGAGGAGGAGGAGGAGGGGGGGAGGAGGAGAGGAGGAGGAGGAGGAGGAGGCGGAGGCGGAGGCGGAGGCGGAGGCGGAGGCGGAGGCGGAGGCGGAGGAGGAGGAGGAGGAGGAGGAGGAGGAGGAGGAGGAGGAGGAGGAGAGGAGGAGGAGGAGGAGGAGGAGGAGGAGGAGGAGGAGGAGAGGAGGGAGGAGGAGAGGAGGAGGAGGAGGAGGAGGGAGGAGGAGGAGGAGGAGGCGGAGGAGGAGGAGTGAGGAGGAGGAGAGGAGGAGGAGGAGGGAGGAGGGAGGTAGGGAGGGAGGGAGGGAGGGGGGAGGGGGTGAAGGAGGTTGGGAGGGAGGGAGGGAGGGAGGGAGGGAGGGGGAGGGAGGGAGGGAGGGAGGGAGGAGGAGAGGAGGGAGAGGAGGAGGAGGAGGAGGAGGAGGAGGAGGAGGAAGGAGGAGGAGGAGGAGGAGGAGGAGGAGGAGGAGGAGGCCCCAGCCGCGGCCCGCCGCGGCGCCTGCGGGTGGCGCGCACGGTGCCGGCCCGCGGGGCCCCGTGCCCGGGGGCGTGGCCCCCGAGCAGGGGCCGCTGTGGCCTTTGAGCCCGCCTGGCGACGGATCTCTTTCGCCTCCTCGTCCGCCTCGTCCTCCGCCTCCTCCTCGTCCGCCTCATGCTTGTCTTCCGCCTCGGCCCTCGTCCGCCTCCTCGCCCTCCTCCGTCTCCCCCATCCCCCTCGTCCTCCGCCCCGGCCTCCTCGCCCTCCTCCGTCTCCCCGTCCCCCTCTTCCCTTCTCTCTTCCTCCCTCCGCGCGCGAGCTCCAGCGCGCGCGGGAGCGCGGCGGCGGCGATCACGGCAGTTGCGAGGCGGGCTGCCAGCGGCTGGTGCCACGCGGCCGCCACTGCAGGGCTCCGCGTCCCCAGGAGGGCTGGAGGGTGGGGGTGGGTGCCGCCGTCGTCGTCGTCGTCGTCGTCGTCGTCGTCGTCGTCGTCGTCGTCGTCGTCGTCGTCGTCGTCGTCGTCGTCGTGCATCTGAGATTGTCATCCCTGTAAGCGCTGTCGCCGCTTCTCCGCACCTTCTTGGTCCAAGGCAAGAGGACTGGCCAGCCCCTTGAAGGGCCAGTCGCTCTTGGAGGCGTGCCTGGGTTTTGTCCGCGACCTCACCATACTGTCGGTGCCCGCCGAGATAGCCCGCGGGGCTGCAGTGGGACTCCTCAGCTGGTGCGGCGCGCCCGCAGTTTGTGGGAGGAGGTGGTGAGCGCTGCTCGAGGGCCGTCGCGCAGCCGCAGAGGGTTGCGAGAAGCGATTCGACCTCATCGTGGAGGGAAACCGCTACACGGAGAATCTGTGCGCCCGCGTGCTGCCGCTCGTTGCGCCTCTCTTCGGCCTCGCCTGCGGCTGCGGGTGCGTGTCTAGGGGAGCCCTCGTGTGCATCACCGGTGCGGGGCATTAGCGTAAGGCCACTTGCCTGGTGTCGTGGTGGCGCCCTCAAGCCAGGTTGCGCCATGGTCATCGCTCGAGTGGAGATCGGTCGGGAGGAGGAGTCCATGAGAGAGCACACCACGAGGGATATGAATCTCGTCGACTTCGAGAAGGACGCGCAGGTGCCCCGAGTTCAGCATGGTGCTGGGTGGGGGGCCGCCACCGCTCGTGGAAGGACGTGGAGGAGGGCATCTCCGAGGTGCCGGTAACGGACTGGCCGATGGAAGGACCCAGGACCGTGCCTTGGTGTGTGACGTTCCTGGGTCAGTGCGCTCGTGGAAGCACCCTTCCTGATGATCACCGCTGGTGGAGGCATGATGCGAAGCTCAACGCCTGCTATTGGGGGGTGCTGGAGCACGAGTCGGAGATGAAGGCAACCACCAACCACCTTCGTGGGCGGTACGACCAGGTGGATCGCGCCTACCTGGCTTGCCCGGAACACCTGTGCCGTCCAGCCCAGCTCATCGAGTACAAATACCTCGAGAAGGTCAGGGAGTTTGACATGAATTCGTTCGGCAAGACGGCCCTGGCCCTCGATGGGCAGGAGATGTTCGTGGGCGAGGGCCGTGGCGGAGGAGTCGTGATGTGCTCGCCCCCCTGGTGGAGCACGTCGCGAAGGAGTTGGAGAGGGATGCCTCGATCGCCAAGCTGGCGCGCCAGGCTCGCGAGAAGCGCGAGGTGGTGCGCCCGACGAAGTCATGATGGCGCCGCGGCCGCCGCTGGAAGCCCGGCAGGCGGCGGTCGGGTTTATCGTTGGGCGCGCGGGAGGTGACCGTCCCCGTGCAGCTTTCCCTCGAGTGGCAGGCGACGCCAGCGGAGTCTTTTCCCGCTCGCGGGTGCGTTCTCGTTCAGCAAGGAGTTTCCGACTGCTGGCGCTGGGCACCGCTATCAACAAGTCTGCCGCGCTCTGGGAGAGCTCGCTTGAGGCGGGGACCATGCTAGAGTTTTCGGTGATGGTGCCGCTCCAGGAGGCGCCGCCCTAGCCGCCGGCGAGCTCGTGGCCGAGGAGGTTATCGCAATGAGAGGGCCCCCGGGGATCCTGACTCCTCGCGCCGCCTTCCAGGAGGTGGTGAAGTCCACCGACTACCGCGGTGAGCGTGTGGACGTTGCTGCTATCGATCTTGATCTCCTTTCGCTACCCCCTTTCGGGCGCCGTCCTGTCCCTTGGGATGGCCTACTGGGGGATGGGGGCGCGCTGGAGATCGAGCAAGTTTGTAAGGGGCTCACCCTGCCAAGCGACGCCGTGGCTGAGATCAAAGCTTCGCTCGACGTGGGGCGGCCCCACATAGGCCGCGGGCTCGTGCAGAAGCCGCGCCGCTACGCCAAGCTGGTGGAGGCGCTCTTCTTGCGCGGGCTCATGGACTTCGACACTAACGTGACTTGTGAGTGTTCTTGTACGGCGTCTGGAAGAAGTCGGGAAAGCAGAGGCCTGTGATCGACGCCCGCCTCTCCAGTGCACATTTTGGTCCATCGAGGGAAACCCCGCCCCCTGCGGGGCAGCCTTTGCCGAGTTCGAGCTGGCGGACTCTGGGGGCGCTCTTTTGGCCGCGCTGGACGTGAGGGATGCCTTTCATTACGTTCAGTTACCTATGAAGCTGCCACCTTTCTTTGGATTGCCTCGTGTCAGAGCCAGCCACCTTGGTCTTTCTCAGCGCCTTGTGGATGGGGCCAAAGATGGCTCGCTACAACCGAGGTTCGCTGCGATGCCGATGGGTTGGGCGCATGCTCTGTACTGGGCGCAGCTTTCGCGTTGCAGAGTTCTCGCTTGAGCCTTGCCAGAGTTCGGAGTCAAGTGTTTTCTTGCAGACGACCGAGTGTTACCTTCCGTCAGGCAGGGCGTCGTCGGACTGTGCGTTGACAATTTCATTGCAGTGTGCGCCGCCGCAGCTGCGGCCGACGGACATGTCGAGAGGGCCTCCGCTGCGTTCAAGGACGCAGGGCTTCGGCCGCATGAGGAGGAGAGCGCTACCCAGGAGCTGGAAGTGCTTGGATGGAGGCTGCGGGGTTTCGCTCATGCTGGCGCGCAGCCAGCTGCGCGACGTCGTTGGCGGCTGCGGCTGCATTTGGAGCGCGCCCTCGCGCGGAGCACCTTGTCAGGTCATGATGTGCGGCAGTTTGTCGGCCACTTCGCTTTCTGCGCGCTTTTATGCCTTTTCCCAGAAGTGCCCTCATGAGTGCCGCAAAGTGTGGCCCTCGTTTCGCCGGGAGCTGCGATTGGCCTGGGACCTTCTTGCGGTGCAAGCCCGTTCCTGGCGACATGTCTGGTCGCCCTGCGTCGTGGCGACCGACGCCACTGGGCGAGGGGTCGTCGAGAGCTCTTTGCCCGAGGCGAGTGTCAAGGAGATTGGGGGATGGGGCGAGAGGTGGAGGTTCAAGAGCGGGGTGTCGGGAGAGAGCGCTCGTGCTGCTGCGGGCATCTGCACTGCCGCCGTCGCGGCGCAGCGTTGCCGAGGGAAAACAACATCACCGCCACCGCCACTCCACGGCCGCATGCGCTCCCTCTACAAGCTCCCAGAGGTCCCGCAGGTCCCGAACTCAAGCGACATGAACTTCTACGAGACCCCGCAGGGCCCAGGGGCTATCACCCCCGTGAAGGCGAATGACAATGACGAGATTTTCGCAGCCCCCTCAAAGGACCCAGAGGAGGATGTTGGATATCAACTAGGATTTCAAGGAGGCGCCTAAAGCCTTCAGAGACCCGATGGAGCCTCACCGTCCCGAAAATTCCCAGGTGGTCGACGGGCTCCTGGACGCGTGTTCCCTAACCATACCTTTGCGGACGACAAGCTCTTGGGCGTGTCTTGGGATGCGGTGGGCGCTGGCTCGTTCTGGGGGGGGTCTAGTGTGGGTTCTCAGGCACCGTCTCAGGGACCTCCGCAGTCTTGACAAGAGGCTCCTGTTATCACTGATTCTATGGGGGCCATTTTGGTTATGAGTAAGGGGAGGGGCAGCTCCACTGGGCTGTGCTCGGTCTGCCGTCAATGGGCCGCGCTATGTCTGGGGGGTCGTGTCACTCCTGCTCTGCGCTGGCGCCCCCCCGAGTGGGCACCCGCTGGCCGACCGTCTCGCGCCGCGCGTGCTAGCCGCGAGGAGGGGGCGCCTGAAGCCGAGCCAACTCAAGATGAAGATCGTCGGGAGGGCCTGGTCCGCTTCTGGAACTCTGCCTGGCCGGGCGACTGCTGCCTTGTCTCGGGGCCCCGAGGAGCTGGGCGACGTCGTCGGGCGGCGCGCGCCCGTGGGGCCGCTGGCGCCGCCGACGGAGCAGGAGCAGCTGGGGGGTCTACCCCGCTCGCACCCGAACGTGGGGCGTCGCGCCCCGCAGGTTCGGATGGTCCGAAGGGCAACCCTGCAGGTGGCTTCCCACGGTGACGGGGCGCGAGGGGCTTGCACAGTGCTGGAGATGGACGCCCTGGGCCACGGCGCGAAGCACCGGCGCGCCAAGACGGGGGGGGGCCTCCAGGTGTAGGCGGAGCATAATTTATTGCCACTTGCCCCTCCCACTGCGCTGGGCGGTGCTCTGGTCGCGTACTTGGATTTCCTGTGCTTCGAGGGCCGCGACGCAGCGATGGGGGCGAAGCTGATCGCGGCCGCGGGGTACGTCAACCCCAAGGTGTTGCCCCGCGCGGCCTGCCGGCTGCCGCGAACGCGCCTCGCCGCCCAGGAATGGTTGCGCCTCTCGACCCTGCGAGCGAGGCTGCCAATCCCCCTGGAGGTGGTCGCCGCACTCGCGGTAGCTATGTGCGGTCGCGGGTGGTGGCGGGCGGGCGCTGCGGCGCTTCTGGCCACGTCCTGCTACCTTCGGGCCAGCATATTGGCTGCGGTGAGGGTGAAGAAAAGCGAGCCCTCAAAGACAGGCAGTTTGGATGATTCCACGGTGCTGGACGACCAGGGGTACGCGGCGCTGTACACGTGCATGCCGCCAGCGCTGGTTTGCGCCACCAGTCCCGGCTAGCCCCTGCCTGGCCTCGTTGGCCTTGCGCCGTTAGCGCTAGGTGTTACCAGCGCTGGTTTGCGCAACCAGACCTGGCCAGCTTCTGCCTGTGTTCTACCAGGGCTGGGGGCCTGTTAGCGCTGGTTTGCGCCACTAGCCCTTGCTAGCCTCTGCGTGCGCCCCGCGCTCCCTGGGTGCCACCGGTGCTTATTTGCGACACCAGTTCGACCCTTCGCGGGCCCCGCCTAGCCCCAGTAGCTATGGGTGCATTGGCGCCGCCAGCGCTGGTGTGCACTTTTGCTGGCCATCCGGCAGTACTAGTCCATGCTCAGGCCCTGCCAGACCTGGCTGCCCTGCCAGCCCTGCCTAGCCCCTCTGCGCCCAACGCTGGCTTGCGCCCCCAGCCCAGCCAGCCCTTGCCCAGATCCACTGGACCTGGGTGCCGCTGGTGCTGTTTTTTCCAGATTGCCCCGGCTAGCCCCTTCCTAGTCCCACTGGCACCCAGGCTGCGCCAAACGTTGGCTTGCGCTGCTATCCCTGGGTGCCGTCAGCGCTGGTTCGTACCGCTGGCCCTCGCGAGTCTCTGCCTGGGGCCCGCTCGCCCTCGGTGTCGCCAGCGCGGGCTCGCGCCGCTGTTCCTGCGAGCCTCTGCTCAGGTACAGGGCGCTCAGGGCCCCCAAAGCTTCTCGGAGTCCACAATCCAGCACGCGTTCTACGAGGCTTAACCCCTATAGTGGAAGACAGTCGGATTCCGAGTCCGGCCAGTAATTCTGGTCTGAGCACATTTCTTTGAACGCCTTGTAGCCATTGTCAGGACAAGTGTCCAGGAAATCTATTGGGGTGCGCGCACCTAAAACGGGCTGACGGCTTTGCGCCACCGGCTCCGTCCAAGCTGTCCAAGCTCCGCCAGCACTGGTCGAGAGCTTTGCTTCCCGCCACCAGCTCCGACCAGGTCTCGCCGAGCCCCACTGCCCTGGAGTGCACGCGTGCTTGAGCCATCAGCGCTTTGTGCCGCAAGCGCCACTCGCTCTCACTAGCCCGTGCCTGGCTCTGCCAGTGCTCGCTTCGGCCATCAGCTCTACTTTGCATTGGTTTGAGTTCGTGAATGCGCAAGCTCGATGTTCTGGATCCACACTGCAGTTCCAATTGGCCCAGCCCGAGGTCCTTGTACGAAGCAGACGATAGCTCAAGGACAAGTTTGGAGTTCGCGTGCCTTCCATTCCAAAGTGCCAATGTTTTGACGTTCGATCTTGCGATGTGCGCTCATCGATTTGTCATTAATCGGCGTGAGAAGTTTTAACAATCGCCGATCGTCTTCGACACGAGAGCCGAGTGCTCGACCTTTCGAGCTTCGACCTCGAGTCCGATGCGGCTATCGCGACCCGCATGCGCTAGCGCCTCTGTGAAAACGCGTCTGCGCTAGTTGTCAGTTCAGACCACTTCCACTCGAACGTCGAAGCCGCGGCCGACGTCGGTCGTCGTCGGTCGTCGTCGGTCGTCGTCGGTCGTCGTCGGTCGGTCGGTCGGTCGGTCGGTCAGTGGTCGTCGTCGTCGTCGTCGTCGTCGTCGTCGTCGTCGCTGTCGCCGCCACGGCTTCCATCGTCCCCGTCGCCGTCGCCGTCGCCGTGGACGTCTTCGTCGTCGTCGTCGTCGTCGTCGTCGCCGTCGCCGTCGTCGCCGTCGTCGCCGTCGTCGCCGTCGTCGTCGTCGTCGTCGCTGCCATGGCTTCCGCCGTAACCGTTGGCCCCGTCGTCGCCGTCGTCGTCATCGACGCCGTCGTCGTCATCGACGCCGTCGCCGTCGCCGTCGTCGCCGTCGTCGTCGTCGTCGCGATGTCGCGACGTCGATCGCCGCCGCCGCCGACGGGGGAGGCTGCGCCGCGCGGTCCCGCGGACCCAGATCTCCGACGTCGCATCTTCGTCAACACCTGGGCCCCCAGATCTCGATCCCTTTCCAGGGACCAGCTTCTCATCCACAGTCTTCTGGTGACGGTTCCGGAGCCCGGCGAGGGCTCCCAGAGGCCGCAGATGGCCCAGAGGCCCTCCGTCGTGACCTCTTCGCAGGGAGGTCTGCTGAGGGGCCGCCTCGCGGCTGACGGCCGGCACGCCCAGGCTGGGACGCCAGCCGCCGCACTCCGCGGCCGCCGCAGGCGCCGCTGCACCTGGCCGCGGCGCCGCTGCTGCGCTCGGCCCCGTGCGCGCAGGCGCCACGCCGGGGGGGTGCCTGCGACCCTCGGCCTCGCTTCGCCGTGAAGCGAACGGGTCCCGAGGGAAGCTCAGGGACTCGAGGAGGGGGAGGGGGAGGGGGAAGGGGAGGAAGATCGAGGAGGAAGAGGAGGGGGGGTGTTCGAGAGTTACAGTTGTTGGACGTGTTGCGCAACGTTTCGAGACCCGGGGTGGCTTCCATCTGCTACGCCTCATCGAGAGCGTTCTTGGGGTGCCAGGATCTTCCCGAACGGCCGCCGGAGAGCCAAGTGATGGCCCGAAAGCCAGGGGTCTCGCCATGTAACGATGATCCTCTGGACGTATGTCAGCCCAACATCTGTTTACCTCGTTCATCTCCGCCGACAGCACGCAGACTTTCTTGGCGCTCCTTGCACCGCCTGCGCCGTATGGAGGGGCTCAGGTGGGCAAGCACACGTTGCCGCCAAAACACGATCTGCTGATCATCGAAAGAAGCAGACCGGTCCTGAGGAAACGTTAGGGGGGGCTGGCTCAGGTTGGGAAGCATTGACTTCCAATCGCCCGCTCATCGCCGATGGGCGCCTGATAGCTCACCCGGCCCAGGAGCTGCGCAATTGGAATGGACGGGTGGGAGAGGGCGGATGTCAGATATGGCGCCAGCGTGCTTATTTTGTCTTCTTCTCCTGCTTCCATTTTTTTTTTTTTTTTTTTTTTTTTTTTTTTTTTTTTTTTTCTCTCTCTCTCTCTCTCTCTCTCTATATATATATATATGTACACACATTCCTCTTCCTATATTTTTGCAAGCCCGGGGGGGGGGAAAAACCGTCCCCCCCCCCCACCAAAACTGGATCCCCGGGATCTGGGGTTCTCGGGCTCCCTTGGACGTCCTTGGAGAAGGTCACCCAGGTCTCCACAAACGCCTTGCCAGCAGACCCAGAGCGATCAGAGGGGTCATCAGAAAGGCTCAAGGGAGGCCCCAGACAGCACAAGAGCGCTCCAAGAGGGACTCCAATTGCTTCAGGACGGCCCCAAAGACCCCCAAGGCACCCCAAAAAGCTTTCCAAGGGGCCCCAAGAGGCAAAACTCATTGATTTTTGTTGGTTTTTGGTGAATTTTGGGGTTCTCCTATTTTCGGCTTCCCGACGCTCCAAGACGGCGGTCTTCTGGGCGTCCGAAGCCGCCGGGGAGGCTCCAAACACGCCCCACAACTATCCGAAAGGGCTTCCAGGCAGTCCAAGAGAGCCCCAAAACGGCACAACAGGGGTCCAAGATGGCCCTCAGAGAGCCCCATGGTGGCCCAACATGGCCCCGAGACACCCTCCGAAGCATTCCAAATCGTGACCCGGTCGTTCAGGGAGACCGCGGTTGGAGGCATGGTGGCCCGAGGAAGCTCCCAGAGGCTCCCAGAACACGCCCAGGAGGCCTCCAGAAGGTCTTTAGGAAGCCTGAAGCAACTTTTGTGAGGCCCCCAGAGGCTCTCCAAGGAGGAGCCTCCGCAAAAAGAGGGCATGGCGAAAATGAGGAAAAAGAAGCATGGAGGAAGGATAACGAATAACATTATTTCAGCGGCGATGCCGGAAAAGGCAACAAGGATTTACCGCTAAATTGTCGTTTTGACCTTCTTGCTAGTCCGCCTGCATACCAAACTTCAAGGACCAAGGTGCATGGCGCGAAGCGCCACTGCAGTCTTGTGTACATATATATGTATATATATACATATTTAGATACATATATATATATATATATATATACATATGCAAGACTGCATTGGCGCTGCGCGCCATGCACCTTGGTCCTGTGGGTTCCACAGGCAAGCGGAAAGCGTGCGTGCGTAAATGCGCGCATGCATGCATACACGCGCACACGCATGCACGTTCCGTATGTATGTCTAGGTGTATTCAATATGCTTACATTGTTGTATGTGTGTATACAGCGTACATCTGTACATATAGATTTATGTGTGTAAGGGTATGAACATGCATATGCAACTCGTACGTGTTTTGTCGGTGCACGCCGATATGTATTCACACACACATATGTATACATGTATATGTATACAACTATGGGTTCGCGTACACATGCGTATCTCAGGCGGTAGTGGCCTGACCAGTTGCTCAGGGCATCTCTCAACTGAGAGGTGCGAGGGTCTCAGGCGAAAATGGCCAGATTACCATGGGACAATGCATCGCCGAGGTCAGTGTGCGAGGATGTCTCAAGCGAAAATGGCCTGAACACTTCCGCTCAGGACATACCGGAACTCAGAGTTGCGAGGATGTCTCAAGCGAAAACGGCCTGAACACCTCAGCTCAGGACAGACCAGAACTCAGTGACGCGAGGATGTCTCAAGTGAAAGTGGCGGAATACCATGGGGCAGGGCATCTCGGAACCCAGAGCTGCGAGAACGTTTCTAGCGAAAGTGGCCCGAACACCTCAGCTCAAGGAGCCCTGGAACGTAGAGTTGCGAGAAAGACTCAAAGCGGAAGTGGCTGGACCACCTTGGGGCAGGGCTTCTCCGAGGTCAGAGTTCGGAGGAGGTCTCAGAGGCCACAGTGGTCTGATTTCCTCAGCTCAGGGCACCTCGGAACCGAAAGTTGCGAGGATGGCTCTGGCGAAAGTGACCGGAACACCGCAGCTTAGGACATCCCCGACGCAGAGTTGCGAGGGTGTCGCATGCGGAAGTGGCCGGACCACCTTGGGGTAGGGCACCTCCGAGGTCAGAGTTGCGAGGATGTCTTAGGCGCAACTGGCCCGAGCACTATGGGGCGGGGCATCTCCGAAGTCAGCCTTGCGAGGAAGTCTCAAGCAAAGAGCGGTCTGAACACCTCAGCTCAGGGCATCCCGAAATCCAGAGTTGCGAGAAGTCGCAGGCGAAAGTAGGCTAACCACCAGGGTGCAGGGCACCTCTGGGAAGCCATGCGAGTGAGTGCCAAACAAAGCAACGCAATGTGAAGCCATGCATCATAATTCCAAGCATTGCCAATCCAAGGGAATGCGCGCGTAGGAGTCGATTGCCTCTCAGGGGCTTCTGGGACCCCTGGAGGCCTCACGATCATCTTGTGAAAGTTGTTGGGAGCATCCTCGGGCATCTTCGCTACATGCCACGAGACCCACAACGACTGGGTCACAATGTGGAATGTCATGGGAGCAAAATCAATGAATGTTGGCATTCGAAAACATCGTGGGGGTGTTTTCGGTGCCCTCGCGGGCCGTTTTGACGCCTTCATGGGCCGTCCTGGGGTCTTCTTGGGCCGTCTTGGGGAGCTTGGGCCCGCTGGAGCCCCCTTTGGACCCATCTTGGGCACTTCCGGGGACCTCCCATGGCCCTTTTGGGTCTGTGCTGGGAGCCCTTGGGGTGCCTCTTGGGTCCATTATGGGCTGTCTTGGGGCTCTCGTGGGCGGTCGTGCGGCCCGGCTCGGCCGTCTTGAAGCTTTCTTGGGGGCATTTTGGGGCGTCTTGAGGCGATCTCGGGGGCTTTGAAGCCGTCTTGAAAGCTGATGAAATCCGAAAGGCGAAATGCTAAAATTGTAAGTTTTCGAAAGGAATGGGGCGATTTTTGTGTTTTGAAGGCCCCTTGGAAAGCTTTTTGGGGTGCCTTGAGGGTCTTTTGGGCCGTCCTGAAGCAATTGGAGTCCCTCTTGGAGCGCTCTTGTGCTGTCTGGGGCCTCCCTTGATCCTTTCTGATGACCCCTCTGATCGCTCTGGGTCTGCTGGCAAGGCGTTTGTGGAGACCCGGAAAGCCGGGTGACCTTCTCCAAGGACGTCCAAGGGAGCCCGAGAACCCCAGATCCCGGGGATCCAGTTTTTTTTTGGGGGGGGGACGGTTTCCCCCCCCCCCCCTGGGCTTGTGCAAATATAGGAAGAGGAATCTATCTCTACATATGTGTATATATATATAGATACGTATATCTACCTGTCTCTCTCTCTCTCTATATATATATATATCGATCTATTTCATGAGTCGCGCGATGGTGTCGGCAGCGCCTAAACAGAAACAGTAGCTCTCTGGAACGTCCAATCACTATCAGAAAGAGGCTCGGGCTCGGCACGCTTCCACACTTCGAGCTGATCAGCAGCGACCCCAAAACGTCTCGGCAAATCCTTATGCGACCACCTGGGACCCGAGACGAACTGAACAGGCATACGAGAGGACCGAGCCAACGCTCTGCTGAGACCACGAGGGGCGCCAAGGGACAGCAGGTTCGCGGCCGAGGGCTCCGAGAGTGGCCCGAGACGCCGGCCCCGATACGGGACCCCCCGGGACGGGAAGGCACCACCCCAGGCCGCCTGGGCCCAAGTCAATTGGCGCCTCGTGTGCTTAGTGTGTGGCCTTTTATAGCACGCTTTGGCAAGGGACTGGGCAGCGGCCCACGCATATCCTTCAAGCCATGCACCTGGGCCCCGTCAGCAAGGTGGCACCATTACAATGGTGCGCAGAGGCCCCGAAGCTCCTGCCCGAGGAGCTGCAGTAGCAGCGGCAGGTCACAGAATCCGAGCTCTGGAACTTGAACTTGCCCTCTGGAACACGAGTAGAGAACAACAGCGGCGATGGGGAGGGCGGCCTTCGAGGCAGGCGAGAGCCGCGCGCCTGGCCTGCTCTCCGTCGGCAGACAGCCCTGGCAGGTCAGCAGCGTCCCCGCGAGTTCCTCTCGCGATCTCGACCTGCTGGAAATCCGCCCAGACCGCACACGAACGAACGAGACGAGCCAAGCCTCCGATCTCTGCCGCAGCGCTTGTCGTGTCAGAATGGCACGCCGCACTGCGGCGGGCAAATCTGGCGGCATGGCTGTTCCCTTTTCTCGCCGAAGCCGTCGCCCGCCCCACCTCCGTATCATTCTTGGTCGCGTGACCGTTAGTTTTGTGGGCCACTAGGTCCGAGTCGAACATTTGAAAAACACGGGTCTAGAGAGGTGCGCCCGCGGATTCGACGAGTCGAGGGCGCACTGTTGCGAGTGGCAGCAATCTATCGTGCCAGGCCAATCTATGTACAGAATTCGATGGGCTCCTTGACGCAGACAGGAT